ACTTGTCTGCTAAGCAATATTTGGTGTGCAAGCTTTAGAGGAAAACTGATGACAAAATAAATAAATAAATAAATAAATAAATATTCAATTTCAAAACTCTATCAGCAAGAAAAAAGTCTGTGAAATTTTATCCATGTTTATCTATTCATGCTGATGGTTAAGTGAGTATATGGCCACTTCATAAACGCCAATACCACAGAACTCTGGGACTGTACCTACTTATAGAAAGGACTATCCTTTTTCTATTCTATTTCTTTTGTGGTAGTCTCAAGTGAGGAAAAATATTTTAAGCTTCTTGGGGAACTCAAATAATAAATAGAAAAAAATATTTTCAGTTTCTAAGTTAAAAAATATTTGAACCTATTTCCTGAAGACAATGTAAGTAGCTTCCAACTATACTGAATATTTGGCCTAGACGGGTTTTCTCCTCCATTTCTTTACTTGTTACAGAATCTCTGAAATAGACAGGACCATGGCAGTCGTACACTGTGTACAATACAGGAATATGCTTCTAAGATCTCTGGCAGGTGTTCATACAGCCTTTACTTAACTGTTTCTAGCAATGGGAAGTTCATTACCTTTAAAAGAAGTCTGTCCCATTTTTAACACTTTTGAGTACAAATTGTTAGTTTTTTTCTTATATTAAGGCAATATTTGTTTCCCATTCACCTACCAATTCTGACACTGCCCACTGGAGCAGAATTACATAGTTCATGTAATTCCAATGAGGAATTTATAAAGGCAAGGATAGAACCATTCATTCCATCTCATTTAAAAATTAATCATAATGACAACAGCTACAATTTACAGTCATTAAAAAATCCCCATTTTTCTCAAAATCGATACTGGAGCAAATGATTTTATGGCCTTTCTAGTAAACTACATTGTTTCAGACTTGTAGTTTTAGCCCATAGCAAAAAAAGTCTTTATTTTAGTTCTAGAAAAAAAAGTAATATGACTGTACTGGTGGTGGGAACGCAAAATGGTATAGCCACTATGGAAAACGGTATGGAGGTTCCTCAAAAAATTAAAAATAGATCATATAATCCAGCAATTCCACTTCTGGGTATTTATCTGAAGGAAATGAAACACTAATTTGAAAAGACATGTGTACCTCTATGTTCATTGCAACATTATTTATAATAGCCAAGATATGGAAGCAACTTAAGTGTCCATCAATAGATGAATGAACAAAAAAGATGTGGTACATAGTATATACAATGGAATATTACTCAACCATAAAAAAACAATTAAATTTTGCCATTTGCAGCAACATGGATGGACCTAGAGGTATCATACTAAGTGAAATAAGTCAGATGGATAAAGACAGATACCATATGATTTCGCTTATATGTGGAATCCAAAAAACAACACAAAGGAACAAACAAAACGAAACAGAAACATATTCATAGATATAAAAAACAATCTGGTGGTTGCCAGAGGGAAAGGGGTGAGGAGTGGGCAAAATAAGGGAAGGGGATTAAAAGGTATAAACTTCCAGTTATAAAATAAATGAAAAACAAGGATGCGATGTGCAACACAGGGAATAGTTAATAACATTGTAACAACTTTGTATGGTGACAGATGGTAGCTAGATTTATCATGGTGATCATTTCAAAACGTATATAAATGTTGAATCACTAGGTTGTGCACCTAAAACTAATATAATAGTGTATGTCAGCTATACTTCAATTAAAAAAAAAAAGAAGAAGTAATACGAGGCATTTGAAGATAAAGGACAAAACTTTGACCCTCAACTGTGGCCTCCCAATTAGTGAGAAATGATTTTTTTGGTTACATATCTTGATGTAGAACCAGAAATCTAACCTATAGAACACTTCAAAGGATGAATTAAACTTTAAAGGGCAATAGGTAAAAAATGAAGGTGGGGAAATTAGAGGGGGAGACAAACCATGAGACACTATGGACTCTGAGAAACAAACTGAGGGTTCTAGAGGGGAGGGGGTGGGGGGATGGGTTAGCCTGGTGATGGGTATTAAAGAGGGCACGTATTGAATGGAGCACTGGGTGTTATATGCAAACAATGAATCATGGAACACTACATCAAAAACTAATGATGTAATGTATGGTGATTAACATAACACAATAAAATTTTAAAAAATAAAAATAAAAGATATGGACAAAAGGTAAACTTTTTTATGGGACATTACAGAAAAGTCCTAAATTTCTGTTCCCAAATTCATTGATCTATGGACTGAAAAAGCACAGCTATTTTATAGACTGAGCCATGTAAAACTCTGAGTTCATCTAAGAAAAGTAACAAAGCAGATGCCCAGTGTGTGTTATTATTTTTTTGCTGTGCTGATGATTACTTGCTATTTCATAAGAGGAAATAGACCTGTGGTGAGTTTCATGGCTATTGATCGTCTCCAAGAATGGAATATGCAATATATACAGTGTTTTCTGCCTTCCCAAGACTAAGGGTGGTGTCTTCCTCCAGAATGAAGATTACACTAGAGATGCATGAAATGGAAATGCTAAAGAGATCCTGGAATTGCAAACCCTAACCTCTCCATCTTCAACCCATAAGCATGAATTTTGAAATTAGTTTTTTCTGAGTTAGCCAAGTTTGTAGGTTTTTGGAACCACCTTTACCACCCCACCTTCAAACATAAAATTATTATTCTATACTATACAACAAAAAAATCCCAATTATGTTCCATTAAGAGATGTATAGTTTTGACAAAGAGCAACCATTACCTATGGTGAACAACGGGAATTCCTCAAAGTAGGCCAAGCCACCTTCTCCTTCCCACCCCAAGAGAAAAACCAGTGTATCAGCTCCTCTTAACTGGCTGACCCCTTCAACCTCTTGAAATAACCACTTAGCAAAAAGTATGTAGAAGTCCTTTGTGGATTACAAAGAACCATGTAAACCCATTTGTGTTCTTCCTCTAATTTATAGTCCCAGGAAAAGATTATAAAAACAAAAAACAAAAAACATTGTTTACATTGCCCAGGGGACTGGCCGAGTCTCAGCTTGCCAGGGCCTGGCTGGCAAGCGGAACCAGAGAGTCTTCAGCACTAGTGGCAATGGCAAGTGAAAGCACTACCGAGGCTTCAGTTGGGGCCAGCTGCCTGGTCCCTCCCAAACCCCTCAACCATGAGGTTGGATTCGCCCCTAAGTGGGAAAGCAGACCCCACCCAAAGAGACCACAAATGAACCCTCACTGAGTTACTACCCCCAGCCGCCCTAAGAATGACAATAAACCTGACTTACAGGGAGGAAGCATCCCCAGGCTCCTGTGCCAAACATCAGGAAAACATTTGGGTTTGTAGAGGATGCCATGAATGGTTGGCCCTTCAAGCAGCAAGGCAGCCAAACTAGTTTGGTAGCAGGCCATTACTATGGGTCTGATCTTCCCTAACTAGGGAGTTCAAAATATACATGGGGATTTTGATTTTCAAAACACCATTCTGAAGAATGGTGTCATTATTATACAAACATGAGGCTTTTTATTTAAAATATAACATTGTCTTCTGTGTCGGCAATAAAGATTGAATATATGCCAGATTGATTAGCTGGATTCTTCAGGATCCGTGGTTCATAAATATTCCTCCAGGAAGGCTGGATATCAGTGCAGAAGACCAGGCTCCCCACCTCCCAGAGGAGGTAAGGGAGATGAGAGAAAGCCAAGATCCAGTCCGCCCTGCCTTTGTCTGAGCCAGAGCAGTTTCACTTTTGTCTGCTTTATCTATTGGTGTATAGGCAAGATTTAGTTTAACAGAAGTTCTACTTTAACAAAAAGCTTACAAGAAACTCAGGTACATTTTAAGTTCCTGTGGCAAGTTCACATAAGCTTGTTTTGCCCTCTCTTTTAATTCTAGAGCCAGGAAAATTGTGTCCAAAATAAAACTAAACCAAAACCTATTTGCCAAGTAAAGAGGTCTAATTTGCAAATATCAAAAGAAATCTGATTCATGATGTGCCATCTGGGCAATTAGAATCACATGAAAGATGGACATTTAGTTCATTCTGTCTCAGTGTAGTAATTCTATAAGAAACAGAATTGATTGTTCTGGTCTCTCCAGGATGATAGGAGAGGAAGCCCCATCACACTAGTACTGTTAACAATTCTAAATTCCAAGGCTTCAGGATGCACTTAATACTAAAGTTGTTTCTTCACAGACTATGTAAGATCCTGGAAAGGGTACTCAGAGAAAGTAAACTAACATTTATTTAGGATCTGATCTATGTCAGGTGATATTCTAAGCACAATTCATACATTATCTCATGTAATCCTCAAAGAATCCTTATAACAAAGATACTATTAAGCCTACTTTACAAATAGATAAACTGGGCCCAGGAGGCTTAAATAACTTGTCCATAGCTACACAACAGGTCTCCTGGGCTCTCTGAGCCACTTGAACTCTGCAGGGAATAGATCTGAGTTTGAATCCTGATTCAACCCCTTACTGCATGAATGACTTGAAGCAAGTCATTCCCCACTCCAAGTCTCAGTTTCCACATCAGTAAAATGAGGAGCCCTTTCCAGACTTGAAACCCCTTTGATACTCAACCTGATGTTACAATGGAAGCTGTTAAGCAAAAGAGCAAACACTTGAGCCACGCTGCACATAAAAACTATGCAGATTTGCTAAAAAGATGAAGAAAATTTAAAACATGATGTTCTTTTAATTAATATTCTTAGCAGCCTCCAAACTAAGTGAATATATAAGGAAAGATTAAGTTTGTGCATAGACAAGATCCTTGACTACAGGTTTCTGAGAACTCGAGAATTAACACAAAGTATATGGTGCATTGAGTTAGTGCTAAGGAGTTTGAGGCAGAGTCCAGAGACACACTGGAATCCAGAAGGATCTGTTAGGTCAGGAATTGTTGGGGAAGTTTCATGAAGATGTTGAGACATATAGATTTGCCAGGTGTGAGGAGAGGAGAGGCTTCAGGAGCTGGGTAGAACTGTGAAGATAGCCAATTTCCCTCTAAAGCTAGGCCACTCTGTGTTTGATTTGCACAGACAAGCCCACGGGGTATGGCTCCAGCAGTCGGAGGGCACCTCAGACAGGCATCGTGGACGAGTGCTGCTTCCGGAGCTGTGATTTGAGGAGGCTAGAGATGTACTGCGCACCCCTCAAGCCTGCCAAGTCTGCCCGCTCAGTCCGTGCCCAGCGCCACACCGACATGCCCAAGGCTCAGAAGGTAAGCCCGCTGGTGGGGAGGGATCCACCATCCTCAAGATATTGAGGATACCTGTGGGTAGGCCAAACAAATTATGCCCCACAATCTCCCGGCTTACAGGTCAAAAAAAGCAGCATTCTCACCTCAGACGTCCATCCCTTTGGTCACTCCATATTGCAAATTCTTTCCACTGTTCTGGACTATCTGATGCCAGAAGACAATGGAGAACAGTCACTAAACATGAGCTTTGGTATCAGACAAAACTGAAGTCCTAGCTTCACCAGTCACCGGCTGAGAGCCCTTGGCCAAATAACATAATCTATCCAAACCTTAGTTTCATCAGTAAAATTGGGATAATAATACCTTCTACATCAAGTCATTTTAAGAATTAATAAATACACATGCAATTCTTTTCACATCCTGCACAAAGTAACTGTTGGACAAGTGTTAACATCTTTCATAATTGTAATTAATAACAAAGCATGTAACTTTTCAAGTCCTGGTATTCTGCAAAGTTGCAAAGAAAAAAAATATGCTAAAATGGGAACTATTTGAAATTCATGTTCAATGGCAAACTTATTAAAGAAAAAACCCATTAAACATAGAAATTTGTGTTTGGCTCTAAGAATACCTAGAAATTTCTAATGATCAAAATCTGTAGGTGTCTTTTTCTATGAACTAGACTTCAAACAAACCTTAGAGCTACTATCTATGCCATCAAAAATACAGAAATCATCTGATGCATATTAGTCACTTGATAAGTTTTGTTGAATGAGTGAATAAATGAGTGAACAAATGAGAAGTGATTAAATTTTAGTCCTAAAGTAGAAAGAATGAGAACTGAAAAATAGGGGATAGGTGAAGGAGAAAAAAGAAAGTGAGGAAGGGTGGGTAAGGAAAGTAAAGCCCAAGTAGGTCTCCTTGGGGACACTGTTTAAAAAACAAAATGAAAAAACAAAAACAAAAAACTGTGGTTTTACTCTTTGGAGCCAAAACTAGCACTGTGCAGAAAGCATAAGAAGAAAAACCAAGAAGTTCACAGTGACACATGTGCTGCTTCCTGGTCCTACACTGCAGCTGAACCTGGAGGAGGACCAGGAGCTTAGTGGAGAGGTGAACCCAGGGAGTCACCATGAATGACGGAAAGGGCTTAGGCATAATCTGGTGCACAGAGAACACAGTAGCCAGTGGGTAAGTCAGGGAGCAAGCATCATGGAAGTAACTTAGGTGAATGTGGTTGAGAAGTGTGCTTGAGGGGACAAACGCAGGTCAATTCTTTCTCTTCCCAGGTGACCCAGTGTCTCACAATTTCTAGCTCGAGAGGGGGTGGGGATCAGAGATGAGTCCCAGAGTTCTAGAAATTTGGGTCTTGTGACTGAGGCCTAGACATCCTTCCAGCACCAATGCTGTCTCCTATACCACATGGAGCCCGGGCATTCTGGGCTAACTCAAAGGCTCTGTCTTCTGGGACACACCAAGGGAACCACCTGTTCTCAATGCAATTATTTTTGTGATGTTTGCAGTATCATCCCCCATCTACCACCAAGAAAACGAAGTCTCAGAGGAGAAGGAAAGGTGGGCCAAAGAAACGCCCAGGAGGGGAACAGAAGGTGGGGACGGAAGCAAGTCAGCAGATGAAAGGAAAGAAGAAAGAGCAGAGAAGGGAGACTGGAGCTAGAAACTGAATGCAGAGGCAAAAAAAAAAAAAAAAGGAAACTGGAGGAGAGAAGGACTAAGCAGACAGAGGCAAGGACGATGAGAGAGAAGCAGACAGCAATAAAGAAAAGTGGGAAGTGCTATAGAGGAATGAAGAACAGTAGGCCTGGTGGAGCTAGATAATGCATGTGATGGAAGGAGAATGAACCTGTTGTAGAATGTGGATAACAAACATGGAGAGAATGAAAAGAAAAATATAATGCCCAAAGAAGTCTAAAGAAAAACAGTGGCAAGAATGAAAAAAAAGAACACAAATTATAAAAGAGGCAAATAAGACACTACATTATGCCCCCCCCACAAAAAAACAAATAAGAGTAAAAGAATTAAGATAAAAACCAAGGCTTTTTTAATGCATTTTAAAATTTTGTGTGAAGCTATTATAGAAGAATTGGCCATGTCAATGTATGTCCAGAGTTAAATATTAGCCCAAAATTCTCAGCAAGACTGAATTGTGTCATAGAAGTTCCCAGATTTCCTTTCCTGCAGTGTCACGGAGGCTAGGTTTCTTAGTCAAGTCCAGGTTCAGGCCAAAGGGCACTGAGTATTTGCCTAAAGGCCTGTGAGGCCAGTGAGGTAACCTACAAGAGGAGGTCGTTGAACCTTTCCTTTTTTTTTTTTTTTTTTTGCACTTTGGAATCAGATATAGAAGATGTATTAGTTGTATTGGTCTGATTGGGCTGCCATAACAATATACGACAGACTGGGTGGCTTAAGCAACAGATATTTTCACACATTTCTGGAAGCTTGAAGTTCAGATGAAGGTGTTGACCTCATTTTAACTCAATTACCTCGGTAAAAACCCTATCTCCAAATAGGACACATTTTAGGTACTGAGAGTCAGGATTTTAACATATGAATGGCCAAGGAGAGACATAATTCAGCCCATAACAGAAGACTTCTGATGTCTGATTACTGCCTTCTAATCCTATCTCCTGTAAAACTCTGTGTATATGCCTATCTCTGTCACACACACACAACACGCACACGCACATGCACATGCACACACACAAATCAAGTTTTTCAGATATGAAATCCTGTGAGTTTCTGTTCCATGGAAACACTTCGACAAAAAGCCTCTGAAGTTGATTGGTTCAATCCCTTCATTTTAAAGAAAAGAATACTGAGATCCATAAAAGGGTAAAGGCATGCTTGAGTTCTAAGCTGCCCTCCTTCTGGCCAGCAGAGAAGAGCCCATAATCAACATGGACTAAGAAAGAATTCTGAAAGGAAAAGATGGGGCAGAAATAGACGGCACATGAAATCTTCCATTAACTTAATAGTTTTCCACCAGAAGGAAGGGCATGAATGAGAGCAAGGGGCTGGATTTCTCTGAAGGTAAAAAAAGCTAAGTAGAATCACAGAATTTAGGTCTTGTAAATCTTCTCCTTCAGCTTCTTTGATTTAATTAGTAGACTTAGCATCTTCATAGATATAGAACAAAAAGTCTCAAGATCATCCAAATTGTGAATTCTAAGAGCTGAGAGAGGGTGTAGGAGAGCAGTGGTCACCCAAGCAAATGATGACACTTGGGGTAAGAAGATGACTAAACCAAGAAGTGAAGTATTTCATCCAAGTAACCTACTTTGAAGATGTCATGGTATAAAGGAACCTCCTTTCCACCTGGTCCTTCATGTCCCTGCTGTTTCTACTTCAGGATCATCCTTTCTCTATGGTGCAGTGAAAACCCAGGATATATAATAAATATAACATAACAAAACATATAAGGCCATGCCCAAGCCTCAATTCAGGAGGAAAAGGTCCAGTCAGAAATATGTCAAGCCCCAGATGGGAGCTAAGCCACTTCTGCTGTGGTTGCAAAAGCCTGGCCTATCTGAATAGACAAGGGTAGGCTGGTGCCTAAGCCCATCTAGACAGTCACCTTATTCAGGAGATGCTGAGTTCTTCTACTAAGACATCCATGCTTTGAGACCAGCCTCAGGCATAAACCAATGTTTATTGCGACCACCACCTGAGAGTAGCCTGCAAATACAGATGGTTCTTCAAGTTCCACAGAAGAATTAATAATTCATGTCCTATGGAAAAGTTCCTTAGAGAATTATCTCTTCCCTATTTATTGTTGACTGCGTAAATGTCAATTATGACTCAAGGCTTTGGACAAACTATAATAATACTCTATGATAAGCTTCATTCAAAAGAAGTGAGGCAAAGACTTTAAAAGAAAAAAAAGGAATGGGACTTCCTAGTTAAAGAATGCTTAACTCTCACACTGTGGATTAAAATACACTTCTTTTTGGAATGGGTTTTATCAACTCTAAAGTAGTCATCTTGAATGCCTACATATGATTTCTGAATAATATGAACTAAGTAAATAGGAAGAACCTATTATTGTCTTTCCATCTCCTCCTTTCTAGTGTCAATACACAAGTACCTAGTGATACATGGCATATAATGCTAGATGGATGGGTGGGTGGATGGATGGATGGATGGATGGATAGATGGATGAAATAGATGGACAAATAAGTGAGACAGGAAGCTGAATAGTGGTAGAGAAAGACAGACCATAATAATAAGTAGCATTGCTGAGATGAAATGATTCCTCTCATCCTTGCATAGGACAATAAGGCAAGGACAGAGTAAGAAAAAGGAGGGCAAAGGAGATGCACTGACAACAAGCCTCGCATTGCATGTTTAGAACTTCCTTCTGGAGCTTAAACTGAAATTGTTCAAGGACCCACTGCTAAAGGTGGCAACTGGCTGAGTAGTACTTTATAGTGAATGTTATGTACCTATTTCTCTCCTCAATGCTTTCTTGAAGTGTGCAGAGTATTAATCATCATTTAATATTCTGTTTCTACCATATCTTGGTGCCAAACGATGACTGTAAAACTAATGGGAAGATGGAAGGAATCATGATCCTGAAATCAAATTGTCGAAAAATATTTTTATTGAGCACCTACAATGTGCCAACCTCTGTACTAGGCATGAAGGAAAATTATAAAGATTGAAGGGGCAGTAAAAGATAGCAGTTAAGAATACAGACTCTAGAGTCATGCTGCCCGGGTTCAAATCCTGACTCTTACTTACTGGTTGTGTGGCCTTGGGCAAATCATGTCATTTACCTGTGCCTTGGTTTTCTCGTCTGTCAAACAAGGGTACAATTGACTCTACCTCCTATGGTTGTGAAGATTTATTGACATAATATCTATATAAATGTGTATGTGAGCATGTGTGTACAAATAACATATCATATTGCTTAAAATGGTTCCTGGCACATAGTAATCACTATTAGAGTTTTAGGTAATATTATTTTATCTAGTTCTGGAAATTAGAGCCATCTGAAAAAG